AGGCCAAGGTTCTAACCAAAGCCCGAAGTGGAAGCTGAAGGGACTAAGAAAGAAGAAATGGGTTCATTTTTCAAGTCTGAAAGAGCATACAAGGAAGGAAACTTGTCTTTGAGAGGAGAATCCCCGACCCAAAGATGTTTCTAGAAAATTATTCGGTTACTAGAGTTTAGACCATACTTGATCCAAGGGGAGAAAACTGAAAGCAGATCGTGGATGGATTTCCAAGGAGAAACAGCTGAAGCCCTTGCCAAGATTCCAGGATCCCAGACATTGTCTTCCAGCCCAAGAATGCTAGCCACAATCTTAGTCCACAATTTATCCCTTTCTAAAGAGAACCTCCACAACCACTTCCCCAGAAGAGCCATGTTCCTTTTCTTGAAATTACCAATCCCTAGACCTCTTATTGTTTTACACCTAGAGACCACCTCCCAACTCACCCTATGATCTCTCTTCTCATCTCCAGGCTCCCAGAGAAAGTTCCTTATTAATTTTTCCAAAAGATTTGAAACCTTTAAGGGGATCTTAAACACTGACAGAAAGTAAACAGGAAGCTAGGGTAGATCTAATGAGAGAGACTCTTCCACCTAAAGAAAGATAACTCCTCTTYCAGGCCGCTAGCCTCTTCTCAAACCTCTCCACAACCGGAGCCCAAAAGCTGATACTCTTAGGATTATCTCCTAAAGGGAGGCCCAAGTAAGTCAGGGGCCAGTCCGTAATAACACAACCTAGCTCATCTGTAGATTCCCTTAGGTCTCTTTCGTTCACATTCACTCCCGCCACACAACTCTTRTCRAAGTTTACCTTGAGGTTAGATATCTGCTCAAAAAGTTGTATTGTCAACTTTAGATTCCGGATCCAACTGAGGTTCCCTCCTTCACAGAAAAGGATAGTATCATCTGCAAACTGTAGAAGAGTTAAGGGAACTTCCTCCCTTCCTACTCTCCACCTTCTTATCAGATTCCTCGAGTCTGCTCTATGGATCAAACGCCCAAACACATCAACAATAAGGGTGAAAAGAAAAGGGGAAAGAGGATCTCCTTGTCTTAGACCTCTCAACGTCGGAAAGAAGTCAACCATAGTCCCGTTCACCAGGATAGAATAATGGCAAGTCCTAACACAGCCCCAGATCCACGTGCACCACTTGTCACCAAAACCAAAACTCCTCAACACCTTCATAAAAAATGACCAATCAACCAAGTCGAAAGCCTTCTCCAGATCCAATTTGCAGACCACTTCCTTGTTCTTTGACTTTCTAAAGCTCTCCAAGCTCTCATTTGCAATGAGGATCTGATCAGTGATTTGTCTTCCCTCCACAAAAGCACTTTGGTTGGGTGTAATAATAGAGGGGAGCACCTTCTTTATCCTGAGAGACAACACCTTAGCAATGATTTTGTACAAGCTAGTCACCAGACTAATAGGTCTAAAATCTTTTGGTTGAGAGGCATCTTTCTTCTTTGGGACTAAGGCAATGAAAGTTAAGTTCAACCCCGGGTTTATTACATCCCTCCTGTGGAACTCCTCAAAGACCGAAGCAAGATCATTCTCCAAGATATCCCAACAATCCTGGTAAAAGGCCATTGTGAACCCATCTGGACCCGAAGCTTTTGTCTTATCCATAGAGAAAACTGCTTCCTTTACCTCCTCCATATCGAATCTTTTTTCTAGCCACTCTCACTTCTCTGCACTTAGAGTTGGCCAATCCAAATCCTCCAACCACACTCTCTCATTCATAGGCCTTCTGAAAATAGATTTGAAGTGATTTACTAGGGCCTCAGCAATTTCAACCGAGTGAGACAAAACTGTTCTATCAACTTCCAAGTTAGAGATGTAATTTTTCTTTCTCCTTCCATTTGCCATTGAATGGAAAAACCTTATGTTTCTGTCTCCCTCCCTTAGCCACTTAC